AGCCATTATTGTTGTTTGGCGGGCCCGGGCTGGATTCGAACCCGCCACCTTAGGTGTATGTGGCTGGCGCCTTAGCCACTTGAGCCACAGGCGCCAAGCCAAGAAAAAAATTATTAATTTCTCCACTTTGGATGTAGCTCTCCTGGCCATGCCACCACTACCTTCATCTCGCTGTTTCTCCCAGACATGTAGCTAAGGATACTTGGATACATGGCCTAGGGTAAATCCAGGCCAAGTGCCATTCTTCCCATCCCATCCTGCAGGCTAGAAATCATATGCCTTTCCTGGTACAGAAAGACAAATGGATGCTTTTACAGAGGGGGAGGTTTTACAGAGGGGGAGACTAAGAGAGGTTCTGGCAAATCAAGGACCAGAACCTGAGGTCTCTTGATTTCTTGGCCCGGTGATATTTGATCCCCTTGACATCCCTTCTGGCCCTACCACCACTTTCAGGCAAGCGAGATTGGATTAGCTGCTGCCATCACCCTCTCATTTTTAGTCCAAGGAAAGGACTTCCCCCCATCCCACCTCTCTCAGGAAGTCTTTCTTGACTGTTCCCCTTCCACTCAGGACAATCTGCACAGCCTCAAAAGAGCAGTACTCACAATTTTGAGAGTATTTATCATTTAGCCATTTGTCATTTCCCCTACTTGTTTTCCAATCAAATTTAGAGTGATGACTAACAAAAGAGGCAGACAGGAAAAAATATCTCCATCCATAAGAGCCAGCTTATCAGCCCTCTCTTCTGGGTGTTAGGTACTAGGTTAGGCCCTGACCTTCAGGGCCATCAAGGCAAAGACAGAATTCAGTGCTCCCATGTGTTTTACAAATGCAGGTTTTATTATTATTCAGATATGTAAAGCCCTCAGATCAAGAGACAACTGCCATTGAAAACATGGTTCATCATTTGAAGTTCCCAAGAGGAGGGGGCATGCCACACCATGGGGCAGGGTGGTGGTGGGGGATGGTACCTGGTTGGTCAGGGGATAGACAGAAGGCCTCAGGGACAATGTGGTCAAGAGCCTTTATTATAGTTTTCAGAAAAGGAATAGGGAGGGCAGACCTAGCAGGTTTAGGATTGGCTGGTTGCTCTGGGGCATAAGGACTGTTGTTTGGTTCCAGAGAGGATTAGTCAGGTGTCCTCAAACTACAGCCCGCTGGCCACATGTAGCCCACCTAGGACATTTATCTGGCCTGTCAGGTGTTTTTGCCACTGCTGCCTGTCCTGCTTAGCAGCCGACTTGTCCCAGGGGCTGAAGTCCCGGGGGGCTGTAATGGAGTATGAGCTTCATAAAGGTGCTGGTTGCTCTGGATCAGTCGGTTTTCATTAAGCTAAAATTAGTTTCATCAAGGTTAGTTTTCATCAGAGGTCCTTAGAAGCCAGTCCTCCAGCCTCTGCCAGCCTCCAAGATGTCAAAACATCAGGGAATCCAGGGGGAAGAAAAACATGATTAATACCCCACATTTCCAAGCCTGAGAGAGGAGACTTCCATCCTCTTATCAGACACATTCTCACCTGAAAGGAGGAATCTCTGCCATGGACCTTTATCTGAGGGTCCAAGAGCAGTGTGGGAGCTGCCCTGCAATGAGTATAGATACTACAGAGGTGTTGTCCTCAAGACTTTGCTCTGTCCAACAGCTCAGGGCCTGACTGATGGTCCTGCCCTCCAGGGATCACTCCTGTCATCAGCATTAGGTCCTTAGAGCAGCTGAGATCAGAGAGGTGCCAACACTATGGCCTGGATCTGCTGACCTGATGGGACTTTTCTCTGCCACTCACGCCTGTGTATCTGAGTCTTCATGTCTCACTTATATGGTGGGAATAGTGTCTGGCTCCCAGAACGGGACGCTGCCCTGCTGACTAGCACACCCTCTCTTTTTTTTTTTTTTTTGAGACAGAGCCTCAAGCTGTCACCCTGGGTAGAGTGCTGTGGTGTCACAGCTCAAGGCAACCTCCAACTCCTGGGCTTAAGCGATTCTCTTGCCTTAGCCTCCCAAGTAACTGGGACTACACCCACCCCACCACAACTCCTGGCTATTTTTTGGTTGTAGTTGTCATTGTTGTTTTTTGGCAGGCCCAGGCTGTATTCAAACCCACCACCTCTGGTGAATGTGGCTGGCGCCTTAGCCACTTGAGCTATAGGCACCAAGCCAGCACACCCTCTCTTTTTACTTCTAGGGAGCCCAGCTGACAATGCTGCCCTCAAGTCAGGTGACCGGATCCTCTTTCTCAACGGACTGGATATGAGGTCAGAGGCTATTGGGGAAATCAGAGCTTGGTGCTGTACCTTCTGCCAAGACTCTTGGGACACCCAGGCCATGGTCCTGATCTCCTTTGACCAATTGGTCCCCAGGGTTTGTCTCACTTCCAGGGGCAATCTATATCCCTCTGCTGGCCGGGACCCTAGTTCATCCTTCCAACCCCAAAATAACCCAGCTCCATACTGAGGACATAGAACGGCACAACTGTGGACTTGATGTGTGGCCCCTGTGGGCAGGATGGGGGGTCTGATTGGTGGCCATGGACAGGGCTCACCCCAGTCAGGCCCTCCTGGGCTATCTCTTCTTGGCAGGAACTGCTCCCACGACAAGGTGGTATCCATGCTGCAGGGGAGTGGAGCAATGCCTACACTGGTTGTGGAGGAAGGGCTCATCCCATTTACCAGCGGTGAGACACCCACTGACACTTGGCTTCCTTGGCCCACAGAGACCCTGATGGGCCACTATGAGTGGGATTTATGAGTGTGCAGAGGATTCTGCTATGGCCTCAAACCTGCAGCTTTTCTTCCGAGGGCTGCCCCCAGGTAGTGCTGTAGACCTTCCTCCCATACTCAGCCTCAGGGACCCTGCCCCAGTGGTTCCTCTGTCCTTGTCCCTGTATCCAGCTTTGAATAGCAGGTGCAGGGAGGCACTGGATGCCATACCCCAGCTCAGGAGGTCTGCTGGCCCCACCTGCCAGAGAAACTGCATCTGGCCTGAGGACTCTGGGTCACTCATGCCTCTCTTGCCTATGGTCCCAGCAGACTCTGATTCTTTGGATTCCCCCAACCCATCATCAGCGCTCACCTCCCTGCAGTGGGTGGCGGAGATCCTACCATCCAGCATTCGAGTCCAAGGACGGACCTTCAGCCAGCAGCTAGAACATCTGCTCACACCTCCTGAGCGCTATGGGGTCTGCCGGGCCCTGGAGAGCTTCTTCCAGCACAGGTGGCTGGGCCAAAATGGTGGTAGGGACCTGACCTGTGGTATGCCCCAAGTCCTGTTTAAACACACATCCTGTTCTCCCTGCCTGAGTCTCTTCAACCCATTCTCCTGGGGGAGGCTCCATGAAGATGGTAACTGGTAACAGGGTCTCTAAGGTGGTGGATGATTGGGCTACCCTAGGATAGACCCTGACTCCGACACCTCCTGTTGGAGTCAGGGTCTGTATGAAGTTAAGCAAGTAAGGCAGACAAAGACCACCTGTCCCATTGTTAGCAGGACCCTCCTGACAGTCTCAAATCTGAGTACATGGGCCAAGGCCTTGGGGGTAGGGTGGGTGTCTTTCTTTTGCACCTCAACTGCAACAGACTGCATTTATCCTCCTTGGTCCATAGGGTCATTATCATGGTCTGTGCAAAGCCCATCATTTGTTTGTATGCTTTTATTGTGTTTAAACAGTTTATATATTTTTAAGAGACAAGGTCCCACTATGTTGCTCAGGCTGGAGTGCAGTTATGTGAGTATAACTCACTGCAGTTTTGAACTGGGCTCAAGTGATCCTCCTGCCTCAGCCTCCAGAGTAGCTTGGACTACATGTACACTCCAACCGCATCTGGCTAATATTTTTTTAAATTAATACATATTTTTTTGAGACAGAGTCTCACTCTGTCACCCTGCATAGAGTGCTGTGGTATTGTAGCTCATAGCAACCTCAAAGTCTTAGGCTAAAGCGATCCTCTTGACTCAGCCTCCCAAGTAGCTGAGACTACAAGCACCTGCCACAATTCCCAGGTACTTTTTTCTATTTTTAGTAGAGATGGGGTCTTGATCTTGCTCGGGCTGGTCCCAAACTCTTGACCTCAAGGGATCCTCCCACCTCAGCCTCCTAGAGTGCTAGAATTACAGGTGTGAGCCACCAAGCCTGGCCATACCAGACTAATTTTTAAATTTTTTATAGAGATGAGATATTGCTATGTTGCCTTTGCTGGTCTCAAACTCCTGTCCTCAAGCGATCCTCCTGCTTTGGCCTCCCATAGTCCCACCAAGTCCAGTCAAACGGTTTTAGCAAAATACAATTCTATATAATTAAATACATACTATATAATTCACCCTTTTAAGTATACAATTCAATGGTTTTAAGTATATTCACAAATATGTATAACCATACTCAGATCTTGTCAATTTTAGAACTTCATCACATCAAAAACTCTCACTGTGACTCTCCCAACTCCTTTGTCCCCACTCTTAATCTTTAGAAACCACTATTCTACTTTCTGTCTCTGTAGATATCCCCATTCTGGACCTTAATATAAATGGAATCATATAGTGTGTAGACTTTTATGTCTGGCTTCTTTCACTTAGCATAATGTTTTCAAGGTTCATCTAAGTTATAGAATGTACTTGGTTCCTTTTTTACAGTCAAATCATACTCCCTTGTATGGCTGATAGCTGTACCTCATTTTGTTCATCCATTTGTCCAGTGGCGAACATTTCCGTTGTTTCCATCTTTCATTCCCTTTAGCTCCATTCTTCCCATTTCTTTCTACTGTAAAAGCCACCAGTCTGAGGAGTTTAATACTGTCCTGTTGTTTGAAGGTGTTCTTGAAAAGTGGGCATTGCTGCTTAGTATGATGTGTTTTTTAATTTTATATCATTGTGCTATGTACAGGTATGACATTTAGTGTCTGACTTTTTCACCCACTACTATGTGTTTAGCTCTGTCCACATTGCTCTGTGTACACTTAACTGATGATAATGACAGACAATTCTCATAGATCACATGGTAGCACTATCCAGCTTTTAATATTTGTCAGTCTTTTAGCCATAAAGTGACAAGTGACATCTTGTTATTTTTATGTGGTTTTCTTTCTTTTTTTTTTTTTAAGACAGTCTCACTATGTCACCCTCAATAGAGTGCTGTGCCGTCACAGCTTACAGCCACCTCCAACTCTTGGGTTTAAGCGATTCTCTTACCTCAGCCTCCCAAGTAGCTGGGACTATAGGTGCCCGCCACAACACCTGGCTATTTTTTTGTTTGCAGTTGTCATTGTTGTTTAGCAGGCCTGGGCAGGGCTGGAACCCATCAACCTTGGTGTATGTGGCCAGTGCTCTACTCACTGAGCTACAGGCACCAAGCCTATGTGGTTTTCTTTGATTACGAATTATATTAAGCATCTTCTAATATACTTGTGACCTTTTTCTGTGTTTTTCTCTGTAAATTACCTGTTCATACCCTTTGGGGTTTTTTATTCTTGTTGATTTGCATGAGTTCCTTCTAAGTTTAGATACTGATGCCTTATTGATTTTAGACATTGTATATATCCTCTCCCTGTTACTTCTATTATTAGTTTTGTTATATCTACTATTAATCTGTTTAAATTGTGCTTCTTTGAACAAATCTCCTTGATTTTGTATAATCAAATTTATCACATTTTTGGTTTTATGGTTTTGGTGTTTCAAATTTTAAGAAGTCCTTCCGGCTCAGTGCCTGTGGCTCAAGTGGCTAAGGCACCAACCACGTATACCCAAGGTGGCGGGTTTGAATCCAGCCCGGGTCCGCCAAACAACAATGATGGCTGCAACCAAAAAATAGCCAGGCGTTGTGGCGGGCGCCTATGGTCCCAGCTACTTGGGAGGCTGAGGCAAGAGACTCGCTTGAGCCCAGGAGTTGGAGGTTGCTGTGAGCTGTGATGCTGCAGCACTCTACCCAGGGGGACAGCTTGAGGCTCCTGTCTCAAAAAAAAAAAAAAGTCCTTCCCTGCTTCTAGGTCAAAAGATATTCTCATAATTTTCTAATTTTACTTTTCACATTTAGGTTTTTTATTCACCTAGAGTTCACCTATATGTATGGTATTATGTAAGGATCCTGTATTTTCCCATGTAATTCAGAGGTTAGCAAACTTTCTACAAAGGGGCAAGTACATGTAGTAAATGTTTTAGGCCCATGCAGATCTCTCTGACAACTATTCAACTCTACTGTTGTATCTGTTGTATCTTGTCTATATATAGCATAGACAATAAATAGGTATGGCCATGTTCCAATAAAACTTTCTTTACAAAGAGAGACAAGGGCACAGTTTTAGCCTACAGGCCATTGTTTGCCAATTCCTGATTTAGTGAGTCAGTTTTCCTGGTACACTTTATATGTTTTATCTTCACAACAGCTGTGTGTGGTAGATGCTATTTTATCCCCATTTTACAGATGAGGAAACTGAGACACAGAGAAGTTAAGTAACTTGAGAAAGGTCACTTAGCTGGTAAGTGGTGGAGCCAGGATTTGAATCTGACTTGCTTGACATGGAATCTGCCTTTCTGCCCACTTCTCTTTCTTTCAAGAGCAGGGGCAGGACATGAGGCCAACCTCTATGGTCTGAAAGTACCATCCATGTTCACCCCCACCCTGCTCATCATGGTGAACCCGTAAGTAATGAACCTTTTGTTTCTGCACCCCCTTTCCAGAAACATTGACACCCTCATTGTTGATGTCTATCCTGTTCTGGACACACCTGCCAAGCAAGTCCTTTGGCAGTTTATTTATCAGCTGCTGACCTATGAGGAGCAGGAGCTCTGTCAGGAGAAAATTGCATGCTTCCTGGGCTACTCAGCCATGACAGGTAAGCATCCTCTGCCCCACCACTTCTCTGCTTGTAGCTGCTGGCTGCCTAGCCTCCCAGGGAAACAGCTACATACGTGTTCTTACCTGTGAGGTCTTACAGCCCCCACAGATGTGCCTACCTGCCATGCAAATACATGCTTAACACATGAGGGCTTGGCCCACACTTGGTCCCATAGATGTATCTTCTCAGCTTGACTTTGATGCAGCAACCTGATTTACCCCCTAACCACCTGGGGTCTCAGATTTCTCATCCCAAAATGGGAGTGATCTCAATGACTTGGCTTTGTATTCTGGGAAGTGTGGCATAGATCCAGAAACTTGTATGGTTGCTGCTTACAGACATGCCAGCACATACTGCCTGGATTGTGAGCACATGGTTGGATCACACCTGGCTGGTGGGCTCCCAGTGTGCTCTCACATGCACACACACAGGCCTGTGGGGCTGTGTGCAGCCTCAGCTCCCTGCTACTGCCTGCCCATTACAACATACCCCCTCCCATGAACATCCCCTAAACCATGCACTCATTGTTTAGGTAGTATGAATGGGAAATGTGCCATACCCTGTGAATCAACCCTATTCTAGGCACTATAACTGCCTACTGTGACAGTCCCTGCAGCTCAGCTATATACTGGCCTTTATATGCTTACTATCTGTGGTCTCAGGGACTAACAATTTTCTGGGGAGGGCTGAAAGTTTTAGTAAGAAGTTCAGGGTCCAGGCCGGGCATGGTGGCTCACACCTGTAATCCTACCACTCTGGGAGGCTGAGGCAGGTAGATTGCTTGAGCTCAGGAGTTCAAGACCAGCCTGAGCAAGAGCAAGATCTAAAATCTAAAATAGCGAGGCATTGCAATGGGTGGCTATAATCCCAGCTACTTAGAAGGCTGAGGCAGAGGATCAATCACTTGAGCCCAAGAGTTTGAGGTTGCCAGGCAGGTGATGGCATGTCCTTATCTGAGACTCCCAACCCGAAAATGGTAAGACGGCCCAGGTCAAGGTACCCTTGTGGCTGCTGCTGTGACAGATCTCTGTCTCCCAGACCACCCTGTTAGCTGTGACACCATGCCACTGTAGGGCGGACAACAAAATGAGACTCTATCCCCCCACCAATAAGAAACAAGCTCAGGGTCCATGCTGGGCAGCACATGTCCCTCATATCTGCCTAGACCTAGAACTTTCTGTTCCACCTGACAAGCCCTGATGGACAGCAATGACTAGGCCTGGTCTAAGCACAGGGCATTGCGGTCATGGAAGCATAAAGACCTAGGCTCTTGGCTCGGCGCCTATAGCTCAACCGGCTAGGGCGCCAGCCACGTACACCTAAGGTGGCGGGTTCGAATCCCCAGCCCGGACCCGCCAAACAACAATGACGGCTGCAACCAAAAAAAAAAAAATAGCCGGGCGTTGTGGCGGGCGCCTGTGGTCCCAGCTACTTGGGAGGCGGAGGCAGGAGACTCGCTTGAGCCCAGGACTTGGAGGTTGCTGTGAGCTGTAATGCCACGGCACTCTACCCAGGGGGACAGCTTGAGGCTCTGTCTCAAAAAAAAAAAAAAAAAAGACCTAGGCTCTTGTCATGGGAGAAACCCAGCTGGGGTGGGCTTTGGCCATCCCCACTAGAGCCTTTGTCCTCAGGGCAGCTCTACCTATGTGCTCCTCCTGTTCCTGGTATCTGGTTTCTCACTCCAGGGCTTCCCTGCCTCCAGAGTTGTCCTAGAGGCAAGTGGGGTAAGCCCCACAGCCTGGGGTCCACACACTGGTGCAGATGACTTCTCCCTGTTTGGGGAGGCTCCTTGACTGGGCTCTGAGGACACAGGGGCCTCATGTCCCACAGCAGAACCAGAGTCTGAGCTGGACCTGGAGCCTGAGCCTGACCTGGAACCAGAGCCTACTCCTGAGCTCCAGCCACGGAGCTCCCTGAGAGGCTCCTCAATGTGCCACCGCAGCCTTCGGTCCCAGGGCATGGAAGCTGGCCTCAGCTGCGGTAAGGCTGCAATGGGTGGGAAGGTGCAACTTGGGCTCAGTTTTTCCACTTACAAAATGGGCTTGGGAAGATGAGAATTCCCAGGGAATGCAGGTAAGCTGAGCTGAGTGGTCGCCCTCCTAGGTCTGTAGGGCTGTTGAGTCTTGGCTGGGGCCTGAGCCTTAGAACTCAGATGTGGTAACTAGACCCCAATTCCCTGGTAGGTCCTGGTGACTGCCCTGAGATGCCTCTTCCTCTGATCCCAGGCGAGCGCCAGGCAGGTGATGGCACATCCTTACCTGAGACTCCCAATCCCAAAATGGTGAGACCTTCTCTTTGCCTCCAGATGGTGTCACAACAGATGGGGTATGGGTGGCCCCTGGGGCTGCCACTGTGGCAGAAGGCCCAGGTCAAGGTACCCTGTGGCTGCCGCTGTGACAGATCTCTGTCTCCCAGACCACCCAGGCCTGGCCTCTGAGCCATGTTGGAGCCATGAGGGGAAGTGGGGGGTGGGGGCTGGACTCACCTATGCCTCCCTCCAGATGTCAGCCGTCTATGCAGAGCTTGAGTCTCGTCTGAACAGCAGCTTCAAAGGGAAAATGGGGACTGTGTCCAAATCCCGGGCATCCCCACCAGGCCCCAGCCCAGCAGTCACTGCAGGTAGGGTTCAGCCAGTCCTGAGTCCTGAGGACAGCACTGGCCATCTTGACTGCATGTCAGGTATTATCCCACCCTCAGGCATACCCCTGAAGCTTCTCCTGTAGAATGTGGTAAACCCCCAGAGGCCTCCATGCATGGGTAGGGGCTCAGACCCTCTCATTTTCCCTCTTGCCATGGCTGTAGATCAAAAAAGCAGAGAGCTTCCCCTAAGCAGTTTCCAAGTTAGCTTGTGGCTTTGGGGTAAATTATTAAGTGCACACATTGCTGTGTGGCACAAATGGAAAGATGGTTTCTCTGCAGCTCAGAAGGCAGGAATCCTGGGAGAGGCTCCAGTGAACCTAGAACTTACTGGGCTTGTCTTATGACTTTTGGTCTGGGCTAAAGAAGGCCTTCACAAATCAAAGGCCCTTTCCTGGCTGGAACCCCTGGTGTCCATTCTAAGATGAGCTGCAGTCTGGCTTGTCTTGGTCCCCAGTGGTGCTTCCTCTTCTAACCTGCTCCAGCCTTTGGTCACCCAGGGTCTTCCCGTACTGTGCCCAGGGAGGGAAAGTGGAATGCCCTAGGACACAGAACCCACCTGCCCTGTGGGACCCTCCTTCCAGCCTGCACCTGGGACCCAAGTTCTAGCTAAAGAGGCGTCCTCATGCTTCATTCCCCACCTCAGGACCCAGGACCCTGTCTGGCATCTCGTGGCCCAGTGAGCGGATCCTGCCCTCCCCCTGCTACCACCCGCTGTGCTCAGGGGCCTTGGCCTCCCCCAGCAGTTCCGAGTCCCACCCCTATGCCAGCCTGGACAGCAGCCGGGCACCTTCCCCACAGCCAGCCCCTGAGAGCCCCACTAGCCCAGACCCTGGCCGCCCACCCAGCCACAGGAAGCTCTTCACCTTCTCTCGGCCCATGCGAAGCCGAGATACAGATCGCTTCCTGGATGTATTAAGCGAGCAGCTGGGTCCTCGGGTCACCATCGTGGATGATTTCTTGACCCCCGAGAATGACTACGAGGAGGTGGGCATGCAAGCAGGCATGGAGGGCAGGAGGTGAGGTGGGGTGTGGAGGTCTGCAAGGCAAACCCTGTCCCTGGGCTTCTGCAAGAGGCCCACTGCCCTCAGGATCTTCCCTAAGCTACCCATCTGCCTGCCCCAGTCTGTCCTAGAATCTGTTTCAGGCTAGCCCACTCCCTGGCTCAAGCTATCCCAATCATACCCCTTGTCTCAGACTATCCTATACTCTCTCAGACAGATTATCAACCCACGGCCTGAGGCTAATCCAAGCTAGCCCACTCTCCCTCAACTTGCCCCATGCTTCACACATGTACCTTTCCCAGTCTGTCTGGACCTAGCTTCACCCTCTCTTCTTATTCTTCCCCCAAGATGAGCTTCCATGATGACCAGGGCAGCTTTGTAACCAATGAACGGAGCAGCGCTAGCGACTGTGTCAGCAGCAGCGAGGAAGGCAGCTCCTTGACCTATTCCTCCATCTCTGATCATATCCCTCCACCCCCACTCAGCCCCCCACCACCGCCACCCCTGCCTTTTCATGACCCCAAGCCCAGTTCCCGCACCTCTGATGGGCCCCGGGGCCCCACTCAGGCACTGGCAAAGCCCCTTACCCAACTCAGTCACCCAGTCCCTCCACCACCCCCACCACCCTTGCCCCCACCCGTGCCCTGTGCCCCTCCCTTGCTATCGCGGGGCCTGGGTCACAGGCGCAGTGAGACCAGCCACATGAGTGTCAAGCGCTTGCGGTGGGAACAGGTGGAGAATTCAGAAGGCACCATCTGGGGTCAGGTGGGTGACCTGGGGCCTGCTGGTGCCTTGAACCAGGAGGGGAGGATGGCCTGGGCCACAGCATTGAAGAGAAAACCCATCCTCTGGGCCTCTTCCAATATCAGCTGGAACAGCTTCTGCTCCCCTCCTCCCCAAGCAGAGGATGAGTTGGAGGCCCAGCCCAAGCACATGCCCACACTTGGTGTTCAGTGTGGGTACTGAAGCCAAAGATACACTGTGGACACCTGAAAATGCTGCCATGCCCACCCTTGAAACCTATCACTCTTGAACCTGGACTAGTTTTCTTAGACTCTTAAAAGGACAGCTGGCCCAAACTACTGTACACCAGCCTGTACCATTCCACTTTGATGCTTAAATTTCCTCCCACACATCACTGCTAGTATATACTTGAACACCTTCAGTTATGGGGAACTCACTGCCTGTCAGAGCCCTCCTTCCCACACTGGACAATTTTAACCATTCTTTGTATTTCTGAAATTTCCTTTCCCTAAGATTCCCATGGCCTTTTTTCTATCTATCCCTTTAAATCAGGCAGAGCAAGTATATTCCCTTGTCTACAGACCAACCAACCTGTAAGATGAACAAAGTTCACCCTACCCCTGTTTTTTAGGTCATTTCCCTAATGACCTTGTCTAATCCTACAGTCCAGTGGCCATGTCCCTGTCAAAGAGCAGGCCTCATGTGGAACCCCCAGTTGGGCTCAACCAGCTTATAGGAGAGAACAGGGTTCTCGCCTTCATTGACCTGGACATCATATTTCTTTTAATATGGCCTGTAGTCCCTCTAGCTTTTGGGGCTACCCTATCCCAATGCTCATGCACACCATCATCCTCAACCCCAGTTTCTTCATCTTCTTGGGACCAATAGCATGTTCTCATATGTAGCCACACTATGCAAGGCATGCCTGTCATTTTTTCCTATTGCCATCTCCTGGTTCTGTCTCCTGCCCTCCCAGCCAAGATGATATCAGCCCATGTCTCCAGGAAACCTTTCCATGTTGCTAATAAAGATGCTCAGTGGGACAAGGCTACAAACAGGAACCTATGGCAAGGCTACAAACAGGAACCTATGGGGTCACCTGGAGACCTCAGTCCTACCAGCCTTAAATGGGTCTTCATGCCTTCTCCACAGCATGGTCCTTCCACTGGTTACTGAAGTTGGACACAAGGACACGGGTTGCACATCTGGCCATGTGCAAACCCATACCTGATGTACCTGATTTGCAGCCATTTCTTTGCCTGTCTTTCTCTCCTTTTGGCAACTGCCCCCTCCTGACTCTGTCATAGCCCCAGACAGAGAGCCCCAGCCTCTCTGTCATCTGGACCATTCATCATCGCCACCTGTCTAGCCCGTGCGTTTTCACAACTTCAGCACTCCCTGCCTCTGCCTAGGGCAGCTCCAATGAACTTACTCTCATCCAAGAAGGCCTGGAAACAGGACCAGACCCCTCGGTCACCACCTTTAGCTGCCTTGGTAGACTCTACCCCTTCACAGCTCCTTTATGTCTCCTGCTCCAGCCCCACTTGCTGGCTTCTGCATGACTAGAGTTTCACATATGAGTATACTTTTTTTTTTCAGAGACAGAGTCTCAAGCTGTTACCCTGGGGTAGAGTGCTGTTGTGTCACACCTCACAGCACCCTCAAACTCTTGGGCTTAAGCAATTCTCTTGCTTCAGTCTCCCAAATAGCAGGGACTGCAAGCACCTGCCACAGTCCTAGGCTGATTTTGTTGTTGTTGTTGCAGTTATTGTTGTTTTAGCTGGCCCAGGCCAGGTTCAAACCCGCCAGCCTTGGTTTATGTGGTGCCCTAACCATTGAGCTATGGGCACTGCCAATGTATTTTTAACTTTAAGAGTTGCTGGTTTACCATTCAATGACTTGGATGCTTTGGCTTCTCTTGTAGTCTCCTCCCTCTTTTGGCTTCTTCCCAAGGCCTAAGGGGTGCTTTGCTGCAGGGAACCCCCAGAAAAGTCCTGAGTGTGGGGATAGGGGAGAACAGTCCTGCCACTGTTGTTCTTCCTATTTTGAGCTTCCCACCCTCCTTTGCAGCTTGGGGAAGACTCTGACTACGATAAGCTGAGTGACATGGTGAAATACCTTGACCTGGAGCTCCACTTTGGCACCCAGAAACCTGCTAGTGAGTGGGCCTGAGGGCCCTGGGGAAATCCCAGATGCCACACCAACTGTGGCAGCCCACCCACTTGTCTTCTGTAGCATCCCCAGGCTTAGAGTCCTCAAGGGCTGCACTGACTGCTGTTTATCTAATTCATCTTCAAACCTGCAAGCCCGGAGTTGATTTCTCAGATGCTTAGTTTTTTCAGTCTCAAAGTGGAGATAATAATAGCTGGCATTTATTGTGTACTGACCAAATATTAGACATTCTCACTTGTAAATTAATCCCATGACAATTCTATAAGGTACATACTATAATTGCCCTACTTCTTAATGAGAAAGCACAGAAAAGCTAATAATTTGCTCAAAGTCACACAGAATAGGGTGGACAGGAGGCTTCCTCAAATACATCTTCTGGTCTCCTTTCCTATCACCCCTTTCTGGTTATCTCCCTATAGTTAGTCGTTGAGTGGGATTCCAAGCAGCCATAGTTGTGTGTGGCAGGGGGTCCCAGGATGGAGGAGAAAGGCCCTAGTTGGTTCAAGAATCATCTGAAAGGCAGAAAGCTCTGCCAGCTTAGTCCCAAAGGCTCAGAGGAGAGAGGGCATTTGAGGGCAGTGGATGGGGTGGGAGGGGTATGATACTCACAAGCTGTGTGTCTGACTAGACCTGATGGTCTACAATTTGAGGAATGAGGGGACTGTACACCAGGAGTCAATTCGGTCAGGGTCATACTGGGGGACGGGGTCTTGACTGTTGGCTGTGGCCACACCACTCCTGGGCCCTCCCACGGCATCCTCGGCCTAGCCTCTCCTCCTTAAACTGTCCAGTTTCCCTTCCAGAGCCGATACCCAGGCCCGAGCCCTTCAAGAAGAAGGAGGTGGTGGAGATCCTGTCCCACAAGAAGGCCTACAACACCTGTGAGGGGCGAGGACACCCCCCCCCCCAGGGGTGCAGGGGGAGGGCGGTAGCCCTCCGTCTGAGCTGCAAAGCCTCATACCTGCCCGGGTGGGTGACAGAGATTAGACTGTAGGCGCCCGGATCCCTGTTGCCCGGTTGGCTGAAGGCCCCCTCCCAGACCCCACAGATAGCGGGATCACACGCGGGCGCAGGTGCTGGCCTTGGATGCGCCTGGTATCGGCCCCGCCCTCACTCGGTAACCCGCTGCCGAGTTGGGGCCCGGCCTTCAGCTGCATCCTCCACAATCCCCCTTGCGGGTCCTGCCCTGCTTCCTGGCCCCTCCCCCACAGAACCCACCCAGCCTATTATCTTTCGGTCTCGGAGAACCTTGCCCTAGCCCTTTAGTCGGCCGCGGAAGGACTGTGAAGTTTCTGGCCCGCCCAGGCCCTGCCAGCTACCCGACCTCTCGCAAGCCCCGCCCCCGGTGCTTGTTTCCCCACTCCCGGGACGCCTTAGCCCAGGCCATCTGGAAGCCCCGGCCCCGCCCCTGCTCACTTCGTGGCCCCGCCCTCAGCCATCCTCTTGGCTCACCTGAAGCTGAGCCCGGCGGAGCTGCGGCAGGTGCTCATGAACATGGAGCCTGGGCGCCTGGAGCCCGCGCATCTGGCACAGCTACTGCTCTTCGCACCCGACGCCGACGAGGAACAGCGCTACCAAGCTTTCCGCGAGGCGCCGGGACGCCTCAGCGAACCCGACCAGTTCGTCCTGCAGGTACGGCAGCTGCAACTCCCGCCTAGTGGCCTTAGAGGTTTCAGGGCTCGCGCTGTGGCCGAGGGCTGCTTTGGCCCCGCACCCCTTGTGTACCGCCACCGTGCTTAGACTTCTTATTCCCAGTTTTACACCTCTAACGGCCAGTTTCCACCCAGGGTCTGAAGTGGATGGGACGCAGTCTCCCCTAAGGGTCATACTTGTTTTTCTACGGACACCAGCCCAGGCAGTCAGCTGGCCCCCAAACCAGGTTGGGGGGGGGAAGTGGATACCCTGCGGGGATAGTTGAATCCTGGCCCTGTCTCCGCGGCAGATGCTTTCGGTTCCCGAATACAAGACCCGTCTGCGCAGCCTCCACTTCCAGGCCACTCTACAAGAAAAGACAGAAGAAATCAGAGGCAGCCTCGAGTGCTTGCGCCAGGCCTCCCTTGAGCTCAAGAACAGCCGGAAGCTCGCCAAAATCCTGGAGGTTAGGGGCCACCTCCTCCCCGGTATCCTACGTGCTCCTCTGCCCCATGGGTTTTTCAGCCTGGACAGCTGGGCTGGGGGTGGGGTGTTGGGAGGATGAAGACCTGGGCAGGATCCACCTGCCTTCTCTCCACAGTTTGTGTTGGCCATGGGAAACTATCTTAACGACGGACAGCCCAAAACCAACAAGACCACAGGCTTCAAGATCAATTTTTTGACAGAGGTGAGAAGTCACGTGACAGTAATGGATTGGCTTACAGTACCACCCAGTGAGGCATTGAAGTCATGCCTAACACAAGATGTGGCAGAGGGGAGGAAAGAACATTGTGATCAAGGAGGGCTCTCCTACCAGGAGGAAAAGCTAGCTGCACTGAGGCCAGGACTTGACTTCAGCAGAGGTTGGGGATGGCATGGGAGAAGGTGGCTTCCTCAAGCCAAGTCTCAGGATGCAGGAAAGTGGAAGGGGGAAGGGGAGTTGCAAAGAGAGTGTCAAAGGCCTGGAATTGATGGCACAGTCTAGGAGAAGCTGGGCCTATGTGACCAGGGAGCACTTGAGGAGTATGTGTGTTGGGGTTCACTTGCAGCTGAACTCCACCAAGACGGTGGATGGGAAGTCCACCTTCCTGCACATTCTTGCCAAATCATTGAGCCAGCATTTCCCTGAACTCTTGGGCTTTGCTCAGGACCTGCCCACTGTGCCCTTGGCTGCCAAAGGTAAGCTGGGTGGATGAGCAGGGAGGTAGAGGCATGCTGTCCTGGTCTGGAAGGGTAGCCCCATGAGGCTTTGGTCGCCCTCCTTACAGTGAACCAACGAGCCTTGACTAGTGATCTGGTTGACCTCCACGGCACCATCAGTGAGATACAGGCTGCCTGCCAGAGCATGTCCCCCTCCAATGAGGACAAGTTTGCTGTCGTCATGGCAGTATCCTCTGAGCAGATTGTCTTGGCATTAAGCTAGACCCTCTGGTGGTTGGGTAGAGTTGGTTATGGCTCCAGTGGCCACTACAGACCCCAACTCCCAGCAGAGATTCTGGACACAGGCTTCTGTGGCATCCAGGGGTCCTGAAAGAGGTTCTGTCTTGGGTTATTTAGAAGTGTAGGCCAGGTACAGTGACTCATGCCTGTAATACTAGCACTCTGGGAAGCTGAGGTAGGTGGATTGCTTGAGCTCTGGAATTCAAGACCAACCTGTGCAAGAGCAACACCTGGTCTCTACTAAAAATAGAAAAACTAGCCAGGCATCTGGGTGAGTGACTATAATCCCAGCTACTTGGAAGGCTGAGGCAAGAGGATCACTTGAACAGAAGAGTTTGAGGTTGCTATGAGCTATGATGATGCCACCACACTGTACCCAGGGCAACAAAGTGAGACTGTGTTCTCGAAAAACGACAACAATAACATCTAAGGGCCTATGTCAAATCTGTGTGTAACCGAAGCCCAAGCTCTTTTGAGTGCCCCCAAAGCCATTGCCTTACCTCATCTATCCTCGTGGGCAGTGGAGCTCAGACCTAAATCACAAGATACAAGAAGAGGCCTGCCAGGCTTTACCAGCCAAAGGCAGTCAAGGATGAGGGGACATTCCCACTGAGTCCCCCAGGTGGACATGGCCAGGAGGGGGGGATAAGCCCAGATGGAGAGGATGGAGAGAAGAGCATGTCCACCCCTCCCTGCTCTCTGTTTTGGCCCCACCCTTGAAGGAGAAGACAAGGTTTTCCCTGCTGAGACCAAAGCTAGACAAAGAGGAGAGCTCTGGGGGCTGTGCCTATGGCCAGAACAGGAGGGCTCCACCTGGAAAGCCCTGTCATGTATACCTGAACACAGAGCATGGTGTCTGGTGGAGATGAGTGTCCAGGTAGAAATTTGGTGTCAGATTCCATCCTCCCTCTCAGGAAGGCTACCTGGGTGGAATTGCTGACCAGCGCCTTGCAGAGTATCACTGAGCAAATATTGTACCTTCTCCTCACTGTTATCCCTTCACACTCACCAGCTTCTCACTGTCACCCCCTCACAACCACATAACACCTAGATATTTTGCAGATGTTGAAACTGAGACTGTTCAAGTGAGGGTTCATCCATTCTACCATACCTCAGTTTAGGGGTATCTTCCTGCTTCCTTAGGCTTGGGGAGGGTTCCCCAGAGAGAGGACATCCTCTGCAGGGATTTGACCTTATCCATCAGACAGGCCTAGGCCCAAATCCTGACTCATTTGCTCACTGACTATGTGATTCTGGGAAAGTCTCATAGCCTGAGCCCAGTTTTTTCATCAGTAAAAAGAGAGGTAGTGAGGACCCCTATTACAGGGGGCTGTTGTACTCATTCACTGATTGTGATGCTGTCAAGTTCAGCCCTGGCTCTGACACTGCACTCAATGTGTGGTCTTGGGATAATTGCTAAAGTCCTCTGTGTTTTAGTTTCTTATATGTGAAACAGGGATAATCTACCTCATAGAAGTATTATGATGATTAAATAAGAATGTATAGAGGCTTGCTTAGAGCCAAGCTTGGCACAGTTTTAAGTGGTGAAAAAATGATAGCGATTCAGCACTGGATCTTTTCCCAGGAATTACTGTGTGCTAGATGCTGTTTTAAACACCAGAGGTACATATAGGGAACAAGCTTGCACTTAAAGGATAGAAAATGAACTTGAAAGCGATTTCATATAGAGACAAATGCTATAGAAAAAAAGGGCTGGGCATAGTGGTTCACACCTATAATTTCAGCACTTTGGGAAGCTGAGACAGAAGGATTGCTTAAGCCCAAGAGTTTGAAACCAGCCTGGGCAACATAGTGAGACCCCATCTCTACAAAATAAGAAAATTAGCTAAGTGTGGTGGTGTGCTCCTGTAGTCACAGCTACCTGGACAGGCTGAGGTAGAAGGACTGCTTGAGGCCAGAAGTTTGAGGCTGCAAAAGCTAGGATTGGGCCAGTGTACTCCACCCTGAGTGACAGAGCAAGATCCTATCTCTATTTAAGAAAAGAAAAGAGAGAAAAGCCTAGAGAGTGACAGAAGGGATATTGTAAGTGGGTAGTTGGGGGAAAAGGGACTGATGGCCTCTGAGCAGAGTGCCAGGGAAGAGAGAGCCAAAGTGAAAGGCCTGAGGCTGCAATGGCTATGGTAGGTTCCTGAGTGAGCTTAGTGGGCAGTGGGACTGGCACCTCTGAACAGGGCACCCCTCTCCACTGACTCAGGGCCTGGTCCTCTGAAGGACTTGTTCAGCCAGAGTGAGAGTGGGGCAACTAGGGTGCTGTCTGGGGGCACCCAGCAGGCTGGCTATTTCCTTAATGGAGACCTATCAGTCCTTTCTGGAGACAGCCCAGCCAGCACTTCGGGCACTGGATGGGCTGCAACGTGAGGCCATGGAGGAGCTGAGCAAGGCACTGGCCTTCTTTGGGGAAGATTCCAAGGCAACTACCTCTGAAGCATTCTTTGGCATCTTCGCAGAGTTCATGAGCAAGTTTGAGGTAAGCTATGGTGTTGACCTCCAGGCCCCTTCCGAGAGGTCAGGGCCAAAGGGCAAATGAGAGGGATCATCCAGAAGACCAGGGTGGGAGTGAGTTCCCAGTGAGTGACACATCCACACAACCCCTGGGGTGGGGGTTGGGGGGAACCGCAGCCTCTGTGCTGGTAGTCTGGGGTAGGAACAAGATGTTTGAGGCTCCTGGAACCACTGACCACTGGTTCCCCTGTATTCCTCCTCTCCAGCGAGCACTCAGCGACTTGCAGGCCGGAGAAGGCCCACGCAGCTCTGGGATGGTTTCTCCCCTGGCCTGGTGATAGTGGCTAGCTGGGTTCTCTGCAGCCTAAGCTTGGAGACCAACATCAGGGCTGCCTGGATGCCACTGAAGACCAGTGCCATGGCACCCTGCCTGACCCTGAGCAGCCTGGCCAGTGGAGGGAAGGGCCCAGCCATTCACCCTCCAGCTACCTCAGCTGCTGCTTCTCTGCCTAGGGCCTCCCTGCCCACCCTCCTTCAGTCCCTTGCCCTTAGCTGGGCCCAGACTTCCTGAGGACCCTGCCCTAACAGTCCAAGAACCACTGGCCCCACTCTCCTGTTCTGTTCCCCTTCTGAGACCACAGGTGGATTGCAAAGAGGCTGCTGTCCTGGGACAAGGTCTGTCACTGGCCTAGCAGCTTGGCTGGAGTGTGCCAGGATGTGTGAACCCCTTTCTGAGTCCAGGAACCAGGAGACTGACACCCTAGGGCACACCATGCAGAGCAGGCTTGAGAGCAAGCCTGGATCTTGAGAGCTGGAAGAAACTACAGTTGACTGCACTCAAGGAGGCAGGAGAACAGAGGTTAAGGGTGGTGGAGTAAGAAAATACTCATGTCAGATTGCAGGATTGGGTTTTTATTCCAGTGTACAAACTCAAACCAGTTTAGAGGTGGCCAGATTCAAAGTGAGGAGATTGGGAGTGGGATGGGGATTGTCATGGTTAGAGGCAGAGAGAACAGGAAGATGTTTAGGCTATGAGTGAGCAGGATTTGGTGGCCCATTGCTAGGTTTCTTACCCGATGGGTCATGACATTCCCTGGAAAGGGTCATGTGAACAGAGAGGTTTGGAGGCAAATGGCACAATTGGGACATATTTTGAGATTTGAGAGGCTGGTTTATATGTGTCTGGGGATAGAGGAGGGAGTTGTATGGATGTTAGGAACAGGAGGAGTGTGGTCAGGGAAGGTGTGTGACTTGTTTCACTTTTTTCATTCTCCAGTAGGCAGATGACTATATTAGACAGCTTCCCGTTACCTTTTCTCTTTTTTCCAGAGAATTCTGAAGTGGGCTTTAAACCTATCTCTTGGATTCTTTTTCTCCCACTGTCATCAAATGGTATAATGTTGCTCCTGGGTAGTATTTGGAAACCATTTAATTGTTCCCAGGCTCCC